GTAAAGAAGCAAGGAGTGGATGGAAGATGGAGACAAAAGAGGAGTGCTTGATTGCCAGTTGGTGAGAGCACAGTGTTCTGATGCAAGAGACTGGGAAGCTGGGTGTCACCATTTTCACCTCCCCTGCTCATATGCATAATGCCTTATGTGCATAAGGCCATGAAATTGAACACCCTGGAAGAAATCGATAAATTCCTAGAAACATATAAACTACAACTGAAATAGGAAGAAATAGAAAACTTGAAAAGACCAATAGCCAGCAAGGAAATTGAATCAGTAAAGGGGCTCCTGAGTGGCTCAATTGGTTAAGCATCCAACTTCAGGTCAGGTCATGATCTCATGGTTTGTAGGTTCAGGCCCTGTGTTGGGCTCCATGCTCACATCTCAGAGCCTAGAGCCTGCTTTAGATTCTGCTTCTCCTTCTGTCTCTGCCCCTCTCCTGCTTGTAATCTGTCTCTAAACAAATAAATGAATAAATAAAAGTAAAAAAATTGAATCAGTAAAAACACACATACAAAAAAACCCCAAAAACAAACAAAAAACCCACCAAAGAAAAGTCCAGGGATAGATAGCTTCACAGGTGAATTCTAAAAAACAAACTTTTAAAAACTTAGTACCTATTATTCTCAAACTATGCTTAAAAATAGAAATGAAAGAAAACTTCCAAATTCATTCTATGAGACCAGCATTACCCTGATACTAAAACCAGATAAAGACACCATAAAACAAATTCTCAAAAAAAATACTGGCAAACTGAATCCAAAAATACATTAAAAAAAAACATTCACCATGATAAAGTGGGATGTATTCCTGGATTGCGAAGGTGTTTCAGATTTGCAAATCAATCAATGTGATGCATCACATTAATAAAAGAAAGGATGAGTCATATGATAAATTCAATAGATGCAGAAAAAGCAGTAGAAATTCATTGTTGATAGAAATCCTGAACAAAATAGGTTTAGAGGGAACATACCTTAACATAATAAAGGCTACATATGAAAAACTCACAGCCAATATTACTCTCAATGGGAAAAACTGAGAGCTTTTCTTCCATGGTCAGGAACTAGGCAGGGATGTTCACTCTCATCACTATTAATTAACATAGTACTGGAAGTACTGGATGTCCTAGTCACAACAATCAGACAACAAAAAGAAATTAAAGGAATCTAAATCAGTAAGGAAGAAGTAAAACTTTCACTATTGGCAGATGACATGATAGTCTGTATAGAAACTTGAAAAGACTCCATCAGAAAAACTGCTTATAAATAAGCATTAAAAATTGACATAAGCATATAAAAATGAATTAATGAATAAGCATATAAAAAACTGATAAGTGAATTCAGTAAAGTCACAGGATCCAAATCAACATACAGAAATCTGTTGCATTTCCATATGCTAATAATGAAATAGCAGAAAGAGAAATTAAGGAAGCACTCCCATTTATAATTGCACTAGAAATGATAAGATACCTAGGAATAAACCTAACCAAAGAGGTGAAAAACCTGTACTCTGAAAACTATAAAATGCTGATGAAAAAAATTGAAAAGGACACAAAGAAATGGAAATACATTTCATGCTCAAGCAATAGAAGAACCAGTATTGTTAAAATGTCTATACTACCTAAAGCAATCTGCACATTTAAGGCAATCTTTATCAAAATACCATCAGCATTTTTCACAGAGTTAGAGCAAACAATCCTAAAGTTTGTATGGAACCACAAAAAAACCCAAGTAGCTAAAACAATCTTGAAAAAGCAAAGCAAAACTGGAAGCATCATAGTTCCAGACTTAAAGTTGTATTGCAAAGCTATAGTCATCAAGACAGTATGGTAATGGCACAAAAATAGATCAATGGAACAGAACAGAGAACCCAGAAATAATCCCACAACTATAAGTCAATGAATCTTTGACAAAGCAGGAAAGAATATCCAGTGGGAAAAAGAGTGTCTCTTCAACAAATCGTGTTGGTAAAATTCAACAGCAACATGCAAAAGAATGAACCAGACCACTTTCTTACACCATACACAAAAATGAATTAAAAATGGATTAAAAACCTAAATGTGAGACCTGAAGCCATAAAAATTCTAAAGGAGAACACAGACAGTTACTTCTTTAACATTGCGTGTAGTGTTTTCTTCCTAGATAAGTTTCTTGGGGCAAGAGAAACAAAAGCAAAATAAACTATTGGGATTTATCAAAATAAAATGCTTCTGTACAGTGAAGGAAGCAATTTAAAAAATTCCAAAAGGCAACCCTTTAATATGGAAGATATTTGCAAAGGACATATCTGATAAAGAGTTATATCCAAATATATAAAGAACTTATAAAACTCAACACCCGAAAACCAAATAAACCAATGAAAAGTGGACAGAATACATGAAGAGATATCTTTCCAAAGCAGACATACAGATGGCCAACAGACACATGAAAATATGCTCAACATTTCTGATCATCAGGGTAATGTAAATCAAAACTACAATGAGGTATCATTTCACACCTGTCAGAATGGCCAAAATAAACACGACAATAAACAAAAGGTGTTGTTGCCAAGGATTTGGTAAAAAAAAAAAAAAAAGAAACCTCTTGTACCCTTGAAGGGAATGCAAACTGGTGCAGCCACTGTGGAAAACAGTATAGACTGTCCTCAAAAAGTTAATAGGAAAAAAAAAAAAAACCTACCCTGTGATTCAGCAATTTCATTACTAGATATTTACCCAAAGAATACAAAAATGCTATTTCAAAGGGATACATGCTACCCAATGTTTATAGCAGCATTATCTCCAACAGCCAAATTTTGGAAATATCCCAAGTGTCCATGGACTGATGAATGGATAAAGAGGTGGTATGTATATATACAATAGAATATTATTCAGCCGTAAAAGGAATGAAATAAATATTATATTTATTTGCATACATTTATATGCAGTGACATGGATGGAAGTGGATAGTATTAAGCTAAATGAAATAACTCAGAGAGAAATAAATACTATATGATTTCAATAATGTGTGGAGTTTAAGGTACAAGCCAAATGACCAAGGCGGGGGGGGGGGGGGAAGAGGCAAACCAAGAAATAGACTCTTAACTATAAAGAACAAACGGATGGTTACCAGAATGGAGGTAGGAGGGAGGATGGGTTAAATAGGTGATAGGGGTTAAGGAGTGCACTTGTTGTGACGAGCACTAGGTGTATATGGCAGTGTTGAATCATTATATTGCACACCTGAAACTAATATTACACTGTATGTTAACTAACTGAATTTAAATAAATCTTTAAAAATAAATACATAAAAAGTCCATACAATCCAGTTGTTCCACTACTACTGGTTATTTACCTAAAGAAATAAAAAACACAAATTCAATAGGATACATGCACTCCTACATTTATCGCAGCATTATTTACAATAGCCACATATGGAAGTCACTCAGTGCCCATTGATAGATGAATGGAGAAAGAAAACATGGTACATATATACAATGGAATATGGTACAGACATAAAAAAAGGAATGGAATCTTGCCATTTGCTACAACATGGATGGGCCTAGGGGATATTATGCTAAGTAAAATAAGTCAAACAATGAAAAAGAAATGCCACATAATTTCGCTCATATGGATTAAAAAAAAAAGAAGAACAAAAAGGCCCTTAAATACAAGGAACCAGCTGGTGGCTGCCAGAGGCAATGTGGGTGGGATGATAAGCAAAACAGGTAAAAGGTATTAAGAGGTACAAACTTCCAGTTATAAAATAAGTAAGTCATGAAGATGAAAAATACAGCGTAGGGAATATAATCAAGAATATTTTATAATATTGAGTGGCACATATGGTGACTATATTTATCATATTGAGCACTGAGTAATGTATAGGATTATTGAACCACTATGTCATATAACTGAAACTAATATAAACTATGTCATCTATACTTTAATAATAAATTAAAATAAATAAATAACTTATGCTAACTTTCATATTCTGGAATATATAACAGAAAGAAATTATGTGGAACTATCTACATAGTGTATTGGTGTATATTCAAATGGCAAAAAGAAAATTGCAGATCAGTATGTAGAGTATGATCCCATTTATATAAATATAATGTAATACGTAAAAATAATATGTAAATGTAATACTAATGATAATAAGCTGCTACACATATGAAATTGCTTGATTATGACATAGTCCAGCTGCCCTAGAATTGAGAAGGAAAGGGGAACATAGTGAGAAGAAAAATTAGTAAGGGATAAAGAATGGGTAATAGAAAAGAGAAGATAGAGAAATTCACATTTTCAACTGTATGTAATGAAAGGGAGCATATTTCTTAAAGAATGTGAGTTCCAAAGAGTGTGAGTTCTGGAACCAGACTTCCAGGGTACATAGTGGGGCTCTGTACTTACTAGCTGGGTAATTACCAATTAGTTACCTCACCTCTCTGATCCTCAGTTTCTTCATCTGTAACATGGGGATAATAGCATCTTATTGGGATGGGCTAAATTAATCCCTGTAAAACACTTAATGATGGGTCTGGTGCATTGTAATCACTCAATCAACATTAGCTGCTATTTCTTTGAACCAGGTACTGTGCAGTTGTCTGTAGATGATGTTATTAAATTGTTACAACGACCTGGATGTAGTCTATGGAAGCTGCCTGAAGCCATTCCCACTTGTGCTACAGTTGCTTCTGAGTTTTATCATCTTCTTTTTATGGTTGAGGAAAACCAAGGATCAGAGAGTTGGTTTTGCTCAAGGTGCCCTAAGCTACATATTGATTGTCTGATTCCAAAACCCAGCAAGCTCATTTAACTATTCCAGAGGAGAAAGAGAAAGAAAAGAGGGGAGAGGTAGTGCTAAGTGATGGGGTTGGGTGACAGGGGACTACACTGGGTTTTATCTCCAGCAAAAGCCTGAGATACCTTTGGGGCCAATGGAGAGCCTGGCCAGCAGAAGGAGAGAAGGGTGGAGCTGAGCCAAGGGGGAAGGGATAAATGCCAGGTCCTGACCCACAGCACCCACCCGTCGTTCGTTCGTCCTCAGTGCAGGGCAACAGGTAAGAGTTGCTCTCAGTCTGGATGCACTCTTTTTGGTCTGCTGCCCACCTCAAAGCTGCACATGCTGACTCTCTGGCCTCACTAGATCTGACTTTGTTCCTTAGAATCTGTCTGTCATCTCTCTCACTTTTCTCTTTTTTTCTTTTTCTTTCTTTACTTTTTATCTCTCTTCTTTCTCTTTCTTCTCTTTATACCTTTTTTTTCCTGTCTTTCCCTGTTTTTGGCTTCCTTTTGTCTTTTCCCCCTTTGTTTCCTTTCCCTTATTGGTTTTTAAGATCACTCACTTCACTTCATTTCTGACACTCTAGCTTTCTCTTATTTTTCCTTTGTCTGAGTTCTCTCTGTATATTCTTCTCTCAATCTTTTTTCTCTCTTTTTTCTACTCTGTATCTCTAAGTCTCTGTCTGTATCTCTATTCTTTTCCTTCTCTGTCTCCCAGAAAAATGTCTTGATATTTCTTCCAACAATTCTCCATTTCTCCCTCACTTTGACTTTTTCTCTCTGCTCACCTGATGGTAGAGCTCAACGGGTCAGTGCCTGTGCCTAGAAGGCCAAAGGTAGGGAGAGAAAATTGAGGGAATGTGGGGATGATGGGAAGGATGAGATTTTTGAAGGAATTGAGAGTTGAATAATTAGCATAAATAAGGGAAGAAGGTGGAAGAGGAATGCTGTGTCACTAAAAGGGCCCTATGCTGAAAGTCAGTAGATTTGTATTCTCACCCCAATTCACTGTGAGACCCTGGGCAAGTCATTCACTCTCTGAAAAAAGGACTTGCCTTATAACTTCCACAATCTCTTCTATTTTTGATTTTGTTGTCTTCTAAATTTATGTCTCTAAAAATTTCTGGTTCTATGATTCCAAGTATCTAAAATTCTCTATGATTCTTCCATAATGGTGAGAGGATGCCAGGAGGGGAAGTAAGGCCTGATGCTTCCAAATCCTGAAGAAAAGTGACCACATCCCTTCCAGGCTTAGCTGATTCTTGCAAAGCAGTCTACAAAGGGGAAATAAGGAGCAAGTAATGTGGCAGTGAGTGGTTTCTGGCTCTCTGCTGGGGTAGAGTTGTGGTGGGCCTTTCTGCTCTATGGGACTAAAGATTGGTTGCTGACATGAAAGAGGATTTTAAGGTGCAGAGAACACCTTCAAGTAATGATCTGTCGTTGGCCTGAAGTTTCACTATTATACCTTTGGTTAAAAGCATTGTTTTAAGAAGATCCTTGGCAAGGATTATTACACAATGGGTGCATAGTTGTTAAATGGAATGAATGGATGGATGGATGGATGGATGGATGGATGAATGGATGTTCACCAGTGCCTAAAATTCCACTACAGTTAGAAATTTGTTCCTTTAGTAAAGACATTTGCATTAGTCCAAAATCAAATGTCCCAGATAGGGGTCTGTTAGTGCAGTAGAGGGGATTGATGTCTGAGTCAGGCTTTCAGTCAAGAAAATATGTAGTAAAATCCATAGTGGTTAAGTTATCAGGCTCTGAAGCCAGATTGCCTAGGTTTGAATCCTGCCTCTCCCACTAACTAGCTTTGTGACCAGGACAGGTTACTTAATCGTTGGGGACCTAAGTTTCCTCAGGTTTGAAATAAAATTTGTATTTTATTTGTTATCACAATGTTGTTGTTAGAATTAAATAAGTCAGTGCATGTGAAGCATTTACAACAGTGTTTCACTATTAGAACCAGATGAAATCTATGAAGTTTTCTAGTCCAATGTCTGTGGAGAAATTGAGGCCCAGAGAAGGAAAGTACAGAGCCCAAGTTCACACAGTATGTTGTAATAGGATAAGGACAAAAATCAGGATTGAGACAAGAATCAATTTTTATGAGTCTAGTATACTCATGATGGGACTTTCCTTGGATGTACCTTCACTTTCTCTACATAGAAAGTATAGAAAAGGGGCGCCTGGGTGGCTTAGTCAGTTAAGCGTCCGACTTTCGCTTAGGGCATGATCTCGCGGTTTGTGGGTTCGAGCCCCGCGCCGGGCTCTGTGCTGACTGCCAGCTCAGAGCCTGGAGCCTATTTCAAAGTCTGTGTCTCCCTCTCTCTCTGACCCTCCCCTGCTCACGCTGTCTCTCTCTCTCTCTCCTAGAAATAAATAAAAATATTTTAAAAAAAGAAAGTATAGAAGATAAAAATAGTAGCTAACATATTTTTCAGTATTTAAGATAGGCATTCTTTTATATACTATGTACAGATTATTTTACTGAAACTTCACAACATCCCTGTGAAGTAAATTGTCTTTGTTATTATCTACATTATATATATATAAGATATAGAGAAGAGACATAACTTTTCTAACGTCCCAGAGCTAGTACAGCCAGGATTCAAAATTGTCTGGCTCCTGAAGTTGTGCTCTTAATACCCTAAATTGTCTAAAACACTTTCTTGATTCAATTTTACACACTCCAATCCCATGATAGGTAGTGAGATGGAATGGAAACAGAGCTGAAGGTAACTGGACTATGAGATTATGGGTCATAAAGATAGGCAGACAGAGTGAGGCTGGGCAAATTTGAGGAAAGAAGTATCAGAACAGAGAAATTTGAATTGAAGCTTGAAAGAACTTGATAATTCAACACATTCAAAGAAGTAGTCTATATGTTCCCAGGTCCCTCAGAATATCACTGTCAAAAATTCCTTAGAGATGATGAGTGTATTTAATTTCTTTCATTTTTATACATGGGGTGGGAGTAGGCCATAATCTACCATCATTCCAAAGTAGGACTGACTCTTCTTCCAATCTTGGGGGTTTTTCTTCCTGTCACATACCCCAATGTTGTCATTATTGTTGTCAGTGTTGATGATGGTAAAGGAATTTGGAAGAGTTTAGAACCTGGTCATTTTCTTTGCCTGCCTTTCCTTGGACCATCCACCCATATTTACCACATATAGCCAGAGTCAGTCCCAGCCAGATGCTCAGACATGATTCTAAAAAGGAGCTCCCTTTCTCTCCCACACCCTGGTCTCAACTTAGGGAGTGGTCAGACCCCAATGATGATAAACACTGGGAGCTTTATCTGTGGTCTGCAGACTCAGCCCTGAGTGCTTTGGCCTTTGCAGGCAGACAAGGGAAGGGTAGACTCATATCTCCATATACGAGGTAGGCATTAGATTCCACTCATTACCTACCATATGAAGTAGGCATAAATACCTTACATTTGACAGCTGATGAAAGCTAAGAACCAGAGAGGGGAAGTGGCTTTCCAAGAACATCCAACAGAGAGTTGGGAAGCTGAAATTCAAGTAAGGAAAACTAACATTTATTGAAAACTTACTATGTGCAAGGCATTGTCCTAAAGGCTTAACATGAGTTTCATTTAGTTTTTTTAATACCTTGGCCTTTCCCAATTTCAGGGCCCACACACCCTGCCCCACATACTGACCTATGTTCTCATGACAGCCTGTGAATGTTTTAGGGAGAATTTTCTTGTATAAACAAGGGGGAAAGATTGCTTTGTGAGTTAGGGAGGAGGGATGGTGCTCCGTAAGACATGAAGGAGGTTGCCATATGAGGACAGGGCCACGAGTTCCTCCTATTTACTGTTACCTTACAATATAAAGTCCTGTATACTAGAGGTATTGCTACTTTCTACTCAGTAGCACTTCTGCTGGTGCCAGGGCCTTAGTCTTTCCACATTCTCCCATATTTCTCAAATTGTACTGTCCCATATTTGTCTCATTGGCTGACATTGGATCTCCAGTTTGCTCTTTTCCTTTTAATCTATTTCTCCTTCATGTTCATTGTCTTTCTCTTTGTATCTCTTAGCCCTCCCTCATAGTAACCCTAAACCCACCTTAACCACACACCTCTCCATCTGTATTCTTTGATCTAGTCTCTACTCCTTTTTCTCTTGTTCAGTCTCTCATTTCCTCAGTAGGGTTGATTTACTCTTCCCCTAACTCTTCTGTGTTGCTCTCCCCCACCCCTACTATCTCTGGCAGCATTTCTCCTTTATCTTTGTGCTCTACTGACTCTCTGCTCCTGCTGGATTCTCTCCTCTCCTGCTTTCAGTTTTTTGGTTTTTTTTTTTTTAGTCTTTGTATATTTCTGTAGGTACCTCCATCTCTCCTCATCTCCATTTTGTGCCCTTCTGTCTGTCTCTGCCTATAACTCTGCTCTGTCACTCAATCTCTGTCTCTCTCTCTCTCATCTAAGTCTCTTTCCTTATCCTTTTGTATTTTCCATCATCCTTTCTTCCGTTTTTTTTTCTATGTAAGTCTTCCTCTCCCTGTCCATATGGCTACCCCATCACCTTTCCCTATGTTATTGATCTCTTTCTCTCCTACAATTTCTGTCTTCTAACTTCACCACTGTCACTGTACCTTTGTTCTCTTACTTTCCCCCTTTTTTTTAATCTTTTTTCCCCTTTTTTATCTTTCCCAATTTCTCTTTTCTTCTGACTCTTAACCTGCTCTTCTTTTCTTTATTTCTCTTGAGTTCCTGTTCATTCATTAACTTACTCTTAAATTCAACAAATAGTTATCGAATGCCTACTATAAGTATTTGGTTTCTTTTTTTCTGCTATTCATTCAGTACCTTCTCTTCTCTGCCTTAGCCTCTGACTCTTACATTAGCCCATAGACTTGTTTCCCAGATCCCTCAGGTTTTGTTTTCATCTCCTTCTCTAACCATCCTTTTCTAAAATCCAGTTGCAAGTTTGAAGAAAGCAAAATACCAGTATGGTGGCACATGGTCTATAGAGCCTAGAGCCTGCCCTTTTGTCCTATTTCTCTGAATCTACTTAAGCTAGTACCTGTGGCCTCAAGCTCCTTTTTCCTCTATGGCTGGGCCTGATCAGGAAACACTCTAAGCCAAGCCCCAGGAGCCCTGGCCAATGGCATCTGTCTGCATTAGCAGGCTGAATATTAACTTGGATGAGGCTAATATTCTTAGAAAGATTTTTAGCCTTAAGTGTTATCAAAGAGTTGGTGAGTTGTCAGCTCTCATCCTGCCACACACAATCACACTTCAGTAATTCTCACCATCACAGAAGGGGTCAGTGGCAGAGTCTGAATCATAATTCAGGTTTCCTGACCTTCAGTTGGAACTTTCCTTTATCCCTTTGTCTAATGGTCATTGTCTTATTTCTTCCTCCCTGATGCCCTATTGGTATATTTTAACATTGGGAAAAGTTCTTGCCATTGAAGGATGATAAGTACATCTCTGGGGAGGGCAGCATGTACTGGGTGGGAATGATCAAACACAGGAATGACCCTTGGCTTTTGGCAAGGCCTTCATGATGGACTCTCATCTCTTCCACATTTTCTGCAGGACTTCGGGCTCAGTATGGTAGCAGCAGCCATGTTGCTACAGTGCTGTCCAGTGTTTGCCCGGAGTCACATAGGCCTCCTGGGCAAGATGATTAAGACTCACCAGTTCTTGTTTGGTATTGGACACTGTCCTATCCTGGCCACCCAACGACCAACTAATTCTCAAATCCATCTTAAGGCAACCAAGGCTGGAGGAGGTAAGAAGTTTATGGTAAATTGGGGAGAATGTCTGAATCCTGGAGACAAAGTGCCAAGTCATACTGGCCATCATTGCCTAACAAATGGGAAATTTCATGTGAAAAGTGTCAAAGCAAATAAGTTAGCCCCAAAATACACCTGGGGTATGATTTCTGCCAGTATCATTCACAAGAGTCTCACTTTCATCCTCTCACACTCTATATAATCCAGTCTTGCTGAAACTACTTAAAATTGCCTGGATCAACTCTATCATCTCAAGCTTCTGAGTCTTTGCTCCTGTCAAATGACCCCCACCCATACCCTGTATCAGAGTATCTCATACTTCTCATGCGACACTTAACTTGAGTTTCATCCCCTCGGTGAGCCTTGTCTAAACCTCCAACTTGTCCAATTCCAATTCTGGGTCATGTCCCCTCACTCTTTTAGACTTCCATAGCCCATGTCCTCCCTCTCATCCTAGCACTGTTCATAATGTGTCTTCAGTGTGTGCCATTTCCACGAGCCTAGAAGCTTCCCTAGCACAAGGACCAAGATTCATACATTTCTGTATCTCTACCATAGCCTGATATAGTTTTGGGATAATAGTAGGTCTCAGGAATCACTGTTCAACTTATGGCTGGAAATGCACTGCCACTTACTTTCTTACCTTTGCAGACTCTCCATCTTGGGCCAAGAGCCACTGTCCCTTTATGCTGTCAGAACTCCAGGATGGGAAGAGCAAGATTGTGCAGAAGGCAGCTCCAGAAGTCCAGGAGGATGTGAAGACTTTTAAGACAGGTTGGAGTCAAGTTACACCTCATCCAGCTTCTACTCCTAATGCTTGAAATCACTTCATCACAGTCCTCAGCTAGGCTAATTCAAGGTCAGCTAGTACACATCCCATGATGAGAAGTCCAGTCTTTTCCAAAGGGACCATGGTAGGCAATAGCTTAGACAGTGTACTGAAATGTACCCTCCCTAACCCACATACATGCATAGGCTCTTGAAACTTCTAGCCATTGGTCTAAAATTAGCCCTCTAGAGTTCTGCCTTCTCTATCCCAAGTGGCTACATGGATCCTAACAGTTTGGACTCCCACATTTAAACAATACCACTTTATGACAATTTGGATTTGCATGAAATAATAAGTGCTGGAAGCAGATACATCTTTTAGAAGGGTATGAAGCCCCAGGTCAACTCAATTGGTGGAGACTATTCAAGATAATCACATTTGAAAGACGGTCACAGTGTTGATATTTTTTCATAGGCCCTTTTGGGACATTAAAGGTAAAAATTTCAAAATTGAATTTTAACGACATTCAGAAAAGAAGAGTAAGGTATACTGTCCTGCATATACCTCCCAACTGCAAGATTCAGGGTGGCTGCCCCAGTTACTTCACCCAAAGGAAAATTCTAATGAGGAAAATGTAACACCTTATAGAAGGTGTCCTGACACAGAAGTTTCCACTTAGGGAGATGAGTAGGGGCTCACTCTATAGAATATTTCTTGTCTCTGCAGGCTTCTCTACTTCATAAACTTGAATTTTCATGTTATATTGACTTTTAAAAGGGAAGCACGTGCTTTCTTTTCTCTCCCCTCTCTTCATGGCCAATGAATCCCACAATCTCTATCAGACCTGCACAGCTTCCTGGCCTCAAACAGCCTGAGAAAGCCATTCTCCAGCCTTCAGAGCCAGAGCTAGTTTCAGAAAAGGTCACACACCTGGTACACAACAACATGGTTGGTGAGTTTTTTGAGGTGGATATAAAGAGGGGTAGGAATGTGGAAGGAGTGCTGAAGGGGCTTCTGAAATGGTAGAGAAAATGGCAAGTAAGTGCTTTGGAACCAAAGAAAAATCTAGGTTTAAATTTTAATGCTGGCACTTGCTGGATCTCTGTGGTTTGGCAAGTAAGTCACTTCCGTTTAGTGATATTTTAATACCTGCCTCAACAGGTTATCATGAGGAAGAAATAAAATTAGATTTATGGAAATGTTTCTAGCTGTTTTGAGAGCTTATTAAATACTAGGTTTATTCCTATTATTTCTTCTCTATGCTTCCCTCAAAAACTCATCCTTTTGTGGAGAAACGGGCACCTTCCTACACTGTTGGTGGGAATGGAAACTGGTCCAGCCCCTCTGGAAAACAGTGTGGAGGTTCCTCAAAAAAGTAACACTAGAACTCCCCTATGACGCAGCATTAGCACTGCTAGGAATTTACCCAAGGGATACAGGAGTGCTGATGCATAGAGGCACATGTACCCCAATGTTCATACCAGCACTCTCAACAATAGCCAAAACATGGAAAGAGCCTAAGTGTCCATCAACGGACGAATGGATCAGGAAGATGTGGTTTATCTATACGATGGAATACTACATGGCAATGAGAAAGA